CAATACCAGAAATTGAACCTGGAGCCTCACTCTACCTTTGAGCTACACTCTCAGCTTCTTTCTGAAAGTTTTATTTTAAGATGGGGTCTCACTGTATGGCCCAGGCTGGCCTCTGACATGCAGCTCTCATGCCCCTGCCTCTGGAGTATCCAGGATTACTTAGTCCAATTCTATCTCTCTTTCTTGTTAAAATTTCCCCTGCTGATAGCCCAGTGTGTGGCACAGGCTTGTGATCCCAGCTGCAAAGGAAACTGAGGCAGGAGGGTCATAAGTTTGAGGCCAGCCTGGGTAATTTACCGAGATCTGGTCTAAAAAGTCATCATTTTTACGAAGAGCTGAGGATGTGGCTGAGGGTAAGAGCACTTGCCTAGTGTCTGTCCAGGTAAGGGAAGTGACTCTAAGGAGCTTCTGTTGTCTCATTTTCAGGCAGCATCCCCATTCCAGCCTGACCACTCACCCATATGTCTGGGAGTGCCAACCCTTTGCAGACACCTTTGGTGAGAACCAGCTTGCTTTATTTTAGCTCAGCACCCCACCTCTCACTTTCTGATTTCTTAATCTACTGAAGTCCTGCTAATCTAAGAAGGAAAATAACAAGAACTTTGCTGCTTCTAGGGTCCCTTCATCCCCATTCATCTCTCTCTCTCTCTCTCTCTCTCTCTCTCTCTCTCTCTCTCTCTCTCATTTAGCTATGTCCCCAGCCTTTTTTCTGTTTGTTTTGTTTTGGGAGAGTGGGCTCTCACTAAGTTGATAAGTTGTTAAGTTGGACTTGCGATCTTCCTGCCTCAGCCTCTCAGAGTGCTAGGACTGTAGGTGTACACCAACATGCCCAGCTCCATGGGATTCTCTTAGAAAACCCTTACCACTGTCCCTTGCCTTTGGGGAAGGTGATCATCTTCTCAACTAAAATGAGAAGAGAGGAAAAGACTTATCACAAACGCTGGAGACAATGGCCAGCCACTCCTAGTCCCTTGCCCCTCCTCATAAAGCCCTGGGGTGTGCAGAAGAACTGGGGGTGGTGGTGGAAGAGTCACAACTGGAGAAGGACTGGTTCTCCTGCTAAAAGAACCTGGGGTCTGGACCCAGTTCCTGGCTCACTGGCAGTTCTTCTTAGGAAGTGGGATTTACTTAGCATTTCTACCATCAGCACCTTCAATATCACTGACAGGAAGAAAAAGATGGACTCAAAAAGTATCCCATTGTATAGGTGTGTTCAGGTGTGCCTGACTCAAGTCTCTCTTTTATGTTGCCAGAGGCAATGTCACAGTGACCTTTCTTCTAGTAGTTAACCTCATTTTTTCTTCTTTGTAAAAAGCTATTATTATTATTATTATTTTGTTTTTTGAGACCGGGTCTCATTATGCAGTTCAGGCTGGCCTTGAATTTACCAAGTAGCCCAGGCTGGCCTCAAACTTGTGGTGATTCTCTTGCCAAGGGCTGGGATTGCAGGGGTGCACCACACCCAGCTACCATCATTCTTTTTGTGGGTGAAATTCCTGTGCATGGAAACCTGGGTGTTACAGTATACGTGTTTTTAGTGCTTTTGTTTCAGAATATGTAGTTGTCCTGAAACACGTCCCAGTGTTACACTCCTCCCAGCAGTATATGAGAGTGTCTTTCTCTCAGCACACCTAGGCTTGTATGTGGTATTTGATCTTTTTTCCTTATCTCTGCCAGTTTGGCTACAAGATGATATCTCATGATTCTCCTTTGCACTTGTTCTTTCTAGTAGGAATGAATGATTTTACACATGCTTTTGCTTATTGAACTTTGTATGCAATTTGCTTGTACAACTCTTTTGGTAGTTTTTCTGTCCACTTTTCATCTATTTTTTACATATTGACAGTATTAGTCACATACCATAAGAATTGCTACTGTTTGAGTTTAATATTGCCCTATTTACTTTAATATTTTCTGTTGTTCATAAAACTATATTTATGTATTCAGATGAAATTACTTAATTCTCTGCATCTCAACATTCCCTGCTGTGAAAATAAGATAATGATATAATCTAAGGTGGAGATGGTACAGGTAAATTAATTGCTATATAATAGTTGTTCAACAAACTTGTTGTTCAACAAAGTTGTTCTCTGTGTGATACTGAATAGTTTAGAATCATCTAAAGATTTTACTAGAAATACAAAAGACTTAAAGATGTCTATGCCATGTATGAAATACATTTAAATAAAACTCAAACTTATAGGCTACTATAGACAGGAAGTTTTAAATTGTTCTCTTTACTTCTTGTCCTTAAACATGTTTAATGAATTCTGGGCTGTGGACGTAGCTCAATGCTGGAGGACTTGCCTAGTGTGTCCTAGATCAAGGTCCAGTGCCGTAATAAGTAACTAAATGATAATAATGACAAAGTCCCATATTCTTAAGAGGAAAACCTGAAGTCTGAGTGGAGTGTGAGACTAGAGTTTTCTCATAAACTATTTGTTAGACATTTTTGATATACACATTTCTGGTAAGAATTTCTTCTGTAGCATCCTTATTCATTTCATATCAATTTAGATCTAAAAAAAAAGACAAATGCATGCACTCACCACTCTTATTTTTAGACTTTATGAGGATGAGGCTCCAGTTCTCCATCTAGATCAGTAGAATTTAAATCCCTGAGCCAAGTCCAGGTTGGCTTAGATGATAACAATTGTAAGTTACATAGACTGCTTTTATAAAATGCTTTTATTTTTAGGCCACTTAACACCAACAGATTTTTTTTTTATTAATTTCATTT